TGTTTCTTGTCCATTACAACCGTCGCCCCCTCTTATCCGCCTAAAGAACTATTTGATCATTATTTTGTAATTTTTTTCGAATACCAGCCAATCTGCTCCTGTGTATCGGTACCTGATGTCTCACGATCCGTGAGATTATTTCTAGTTCCATCTTCCGCTTTGTATCTTCTGGATATTTATCCACTGATAACTTCCACTAGAATATCACTAAAAATGTTTCCTTCATTTCCTAGTGAAAAATGTAACCTTTTTTCTAAGAGATCAGTAGGTTTAGATTCAAGAGGGGTTGAAGATAGGTTTACTACCTTAGTCCTATCGTCGTCTGTAGCAGTTGATGCCTTAATAAAGAACCATCCAAATTTGTCCTGGTTGGCTTCGTCCTGGGTTGTCTTATTATCCCATAGCTAAGCCACTGATTTATTAGATCCCGGACCCTCTGTGACTTCTGCTTGGATATGCTCTGAAGTTTTTAAAATCACCAGAAGTAAGAATCCTACCTAAGAAGGAGACTGATAAGTCCTAGGGAAGGAGGACTGCGTAACAATATGGCAGACTATGATCAACATTCCCAGCACAAAGGTGAAAGAGGTAAGTACGACGACGTTGAGCGTAAAGGGTTTTTATGAATTCCGCTTAAAGGAGCACAACACACTATATCTAAATACACACGGTAAAATTTGTATCAGTAAAGACATGATAGGTGGATATAGGAAATGTGAATAGCCCAGGGCAGAAGAGGAGATACCACAACTGCTTAGCATACATTTGTCAAAGGATCGGCTTTACTTGCCTCTTTGACAAGTTGTTGTATGGTGCTACAATTGGCGAGACTCACTGACGATGCCGGCCAAACATCTGGGAATTTACCACGTCCACGGTCCTACTCTGGATATGATCATGCATGCAATGGACTCCGGACTAGGTGCGCTCTTCTAACTCTTCCTACCAATATAACCAAGTTGCAAAAACAAGGTCAAACAACCTCTATACAATGAAATAAGACTGCGACCACAAAAAAGGTTACCTCATCTTGGTCTTCATATCTAAGATTAAAAAGTTATGATGGAATTTTTTATCGTTATAAATATATAATTGCTTTTAAGTTTAACTTATTAAGAAATCAGCCTTGTATACCTTTAAAACCTATTGCGAATTCATCAGATTAGGCAGCAGATATATAGGTTTTATAATTTAGTTAAAGTTTCTCTGTAAATGACTAGCATATTTTCAATGCGTGAGCGGCATGTATTAAATATATTTTGACAACCGCATTGCTAGCATATGATGGTTATTTTTTTAAGCGCAAAGCCTTATTTGACTATAAGAATTTAAATTTTTGTTTACAAATAGGGTTTCGAGGTTATCATTATGGAGAATTAGCCATAGAGATTATTTAGTATAGTTGTGCTAAAGCTCAATATTATATAATATATAAATTACATGCAGCAGATTATTAGAAAATCAAAAAATATATAACTTTAATATAGTAATACTGATAAATTTTGATGTTTTTGCCTAAAATATTTATTTGTTTTAATATTTGGTTTAATAATTTACTAACTGATCGTCTTGGTGCGCCCTTGCTTTTGACCAATTAGAATGCGAGAATATGGCAATACTTCGGATTCTCAAATACTCGACGCTGGTTATGTTGATGCAGACGAAGAAATGCCTGAGGCCGAGCGTGATCTTGCAGAGGACGCACAATGGAAAATAATTCAGAAAAATACTTTTACTAGATGGACAAACGAACATTTAAAAAAGGTCAATATGGTCGTCGAGGATTTGGAGTCTGACTTTTCTGATGGCCTTCGGCTAGTTGGCTTGGTCGAGACACTTTCTGGACACAAATTCAAATACGTAAATAAGAAGCCGAATTTTAGAACACAAAAATTGGAAAATGTAACGTTGGTGATGAGGTATCTGGAGGAACATGAAGGCCTTCGTTTGATCAGTATAGGTTTGTTGTGGATAAAAGAAAATATTTCACTTTTAACTTTTAGACAGTAGTCACATTGTGGATGCCAATTTAAAGCTGATTCTTGGATTGATATGGACGCTTATTTTGCATTATTCTATTTCATTACCTATGTGGGAAGGTGAAGAAGAATTAAGCCAAGTAGGTAGCTTCTTAAATTCCTTTAAATACACATTTATAACTTAAAAGCTCTAAAAATTTATTTATAATTCTAACAACACATTACTATTGGCTTATTTAAACACTTTTAGTTGCCTGCTATACTGAAAAAAGTTTGTTATTATTTTGATCGTATTTTTCTGCTTTTAATATTGTCCTTTGCAAAAATCATCTCCGCCAAATTCTTTCATGATAATCTTTTCTATGTTTTATGCCTATTTTTTATCTGCTTACTCAGAAATCAAAGCTTCTCTATATACTTTCTTAATTAAATTTATACTGTCCCTATTAAAAATGTGGTGCTGATTATCTCATGGTGCGTCGTTAAGCCCTGGCAAATTTTGTGTTGTGTATAAAGGTAATATGCTCTGCTTTTAGTTGCCTTTCTTTTAAATCGGCCAGTTCTCTATT